CACATGACGTGGCAGACCTCTCCTGACCCGCCCGCTGCTCCCCTCAGCAGTGTAATTCCTCCATCTGCCTGTTCTGCTCCCCACTCTGTTTCTGGTGAATCCTTTCACCAGCCCTGCACCTCTGGCTATACCCCATTTCTGTATGCATAAATAAATCTTTAAAAATTTTTTTTTACTTAGGTAATTGATATTCAACCTTTGTTCTTTTTGACATATATACTTTATACAGCTATAAATTTAATTCCAACTATATCTTTAGTTGTATCTCATAAGTTTTTATATGTCATATTTTTGTTGCTGCTCATTTCAAAATATCTCCCTATTTTCATTAGCCTATGGGTAATTGAAAAGTATTCTATTTAGCTTCCAAACACTAGACATTTTCTAGTTATATTTTGAAACTAATTTTTAGCTTAATTCCCCAATATCAGAGGAATTCTCTGTATGAATTCATTCCCTTGAAATGTTTTGAAGCTGTTTAATAGATAAATATAGGCTTCATTTTGATTGTTTCATGTGTACTTCAAAAGAATACGCATTTTGTGCTTACTCAAATATTTTATATCCTTTTCCATATCTAAATCCTTTCTGATTATTTGTAACCTATTAGTTACTCATAGGGCTAGGCTTTTAAATCTCTCCAAATTTTTGAGGATTTATCTATTTCTCCCTCTAGCCTTTGCTCCAGGTTCAAGGGAATATAGACCCACTTCCCAAAGAAGGAATGTCAAAATCCTCTCGTAAGATAAGGTATATATTAGTGACGCTCTTTTAGAAAATGCAATCTGCTAAAATCCACTCTATAGCCACAACAATTCAAATCCCTCCTAAATCCAAACTATGTTCATACACTCCTTCACAACCTCCAATTCTCCTCCCATTATGGGATCAGTTTGAAGTCCAAGTTTCCATCATGTAAATGTTGTCCAGGTGTAGATGAAATTTCTAGAAGTTCCTTAAACAGAATTCTTCACAAGCAAAGACCTACACTGTGAACACAATTCATTGGCCCCACACGACAGTTCCCTGGCCCAAGACCCCAAATACGATGGTGACATAGGCATAGAGTAACCCTTATACGTCCTCCCATTAAAAAGGGGGGAGGCAGGGGGCTCACAGGCGCCCCCAGCCCATAGATAGCTGAATCTGCTGGCACATGTACCCAATTCCTTCAGGACACAGCTGTCGCTTGGGTGCTTCTCTAGGCCGGCTCCAGTCTCTGTGTTCTCTCTCCTCTTCTGCCACTGCCAGAATCTTGGGGCTGGGGTGCTGCTCCTGCGTGGGGCTGCGGGCACAGGGCCAGGCTGCTCTCGTCATCCCAGCTTTTCACCTTTGAGGGTTTAATTGGAAAAGCGATGTCACCAGGGTGCGAGTGCTTTACAAAGACAGGTGCTCGGGCACCTCACAGGGGAGAAGGGCTGGAGGCCCGCAACCCCCAGAAGGGTGGCTGAGTGCCCAGCACCTGGGGACACAGGAGGGGGGCCCTGCCCTCAGCCCAGATGGCCAGGCGGTGGGGGGGACAGCTCATGGGAGTCAGCAAGAGTTAATGTGGGGATGAAGGAAGAGACCAGGAGGCTGGAAAGGGGGTAGGTTGGGAGTGGAGAATCATTTGACTCTGAAGCAGTTGCAGTTCAATTTGTTCTCCATCTAGTGCTGGGCCCCGGGGACACTAGGAGGGTCTGTTACAGGGCAGGGAGAGGGGCACCCCTGAAGCCCCAAACCTGCCTGCTCTCAGTGGGTTCTGCCATCCGGGGCGTCAAGACAAAACATATAAAACTTTAATGAAAAGGGACTTTAATACAGTGAGTATACAATACAGAAGACAAAGAATGTAGTGTCTAAATCAAACACCTGAAGCTACCCATCCCCTCGTGGGCAAAAGTCAACCCAAAAGGGATTGGCCCAGAGCAAGGCCTGAAAGCTGCCACAAGACTAAAGCACCTTCTGGCCGGGACCCATGGAAAAGGGTCAGAAATGGCCAGACAAGTCTGGGAGGACAAGAGCAGCATCAAAATCAATATGAACACTGCCATAGTCACCTCCCTACAGGCATCTCACCCACCTCTGCCTTAGCCTGTCCAGGGCCAGGAAACAAGCACGGTTTCTTCCTCACATGCTCGCTGCTCCATGTGGCTTCCTCAGGTCCTTCTTGTTCTCCATCCAGCTTCCTTCTTTTCTTCTCCTCCTCTGATTTCTTCTCTTCTTTTTCTCTGTTCAGCTCCACCCTCCTTCCGAGTGGGGCAGGGAACCTGGAACTTCCCCTTTTCCTAGCGACCCCCCTGTTACAGGCCTAGACTTGGTTCTTCCATTCATTCATTCAGCAAGCATGTATTCACCCCTACATGTGCCAGGCCTCGTCAGTGCTTCTAAGGAATTTCAGCTCTAGGGAAACCAAACCTTAAGTAGTCAAGAAATAGTTACAAATTGTGATAGATATAGTGAAGGAAACAGAGTGGGAGAAGGGAGGGGGAAAGCTCTTAGCTGAAGGAACATGCAAAGGCCCTGGGGCAGAGAGGATGAGCGAGATCCAGAAGTTGCTGGAAGGGGAACAGGGGGAGGAGAGCAGCTCTTGGAATCCGGGATGTGAGGGAACTTGGAGGCTGTGAAGCTCATAGATGGTGACTTAGAACTTATGCCAAAAATCAGAAGAAAACCACTGCTCAGTTTTAAGTGACAGAATCCACTAGAATTTCTTTAAAAGACTGCTCTGGTTCTTGTCCAGAGGACAAATCAGAGGGCACCCAACAGCTTTTGGTGGTGGGGGGGAGGAGTCAGAATGAATAAGATGTGGATCAGATGTGGGAAGGAAGCAAAGGGAGGAGTTAAAGACTGCCCAGGTTTCTGGCTTGGGCAGCTGGAGGGCAGGTGGTTCCAGTCAGGGGTTTGGGAAGACAGAGGGGTCATAGGTCAGTTTCCCAAAGGTTCAGATTGGCACTTGTCTGTATGCCCAGAGCAGGCCTCCTGTCA